GACACACCCATGTTTGGAGCATCACAGATCCGCGCTGATTGGTCGAACGATTCAAGTCGGCCCTTAAAACACACTTTTTCTGTATTGCCTTCCTTCCGTGACACTTTACATGAAAATCCAGCACCGGGTTTATTTTTCTTAAATTAGTTTTTATGATTTAGTAGCTCACTTTTAACACCTCGCACCATCTTGTAGCTTTTCTGGTTTTATTTTTGCCATTTCAAATGGTTTTTATCATTCGTTACATTATTTTTATTTTTGATAGTGGTGTCAACTGTTCTCTTATTCTATTGTTTTTAGCAGAATTTTTTTTATCCTTAATTATTTATGCTATGATTTTATGTATTTTATGTGATTTTCATGCTTTCATTGTGTTTTGTTGATTTGTTCAAGCATTTGGCTCTTTTATGTACATCACTTTGGTTAGTTGCCATGCTATTTTGAAATGGTGCTTTATAAATAAATTGGTATGGTATGGTATGGCATGGCATGGTATGGTATGAAACAGTGCCATCGTACGCACTGTGACTAGCTTGATCTCTGATGATTGGCTGGGTGGAATCCTGTAATTCTAAGAGTCTGTGAAACAGCGCACTGACATCGTTTATGATGTGAGTGGAAGTGTCTAAATATAGACGCTGGCCAATTTGTTCTTCAGATACTTTGCTAATCTAATCCAGTGGGTGAGGATATTTAAGGTCAGGTTTAAAAAAGAGCTAACATGCTGCTTTAGATGCTTGGAAGAGATTGAGCAGAAACATTTGCTTAGATAGAAGTGAAAACTCTCTTCACAAGCTCCCTTGGTAGTAGCTGGTGGAGAAATAAGGGATTACAATGCTGCAAAGGCAACAGTAGGAAGTAAATGGTAACCCCTGGACAGGAGACAGAAATCAAACTGCTAAAATGCTTCAGAAAGACAAAAAAAGGGCCACTGTGATGTGGTCCTGCGCTAGTTAACGGCACAGATTCGTCACACAAAAACATTCCCACATGAAAGCCGACATTCTGACACGGAGGCAGGTTTTTGTCAAAAGGTAACGACGGCTCATCTTCTGGGCAAACAGCGCCTTTACATGGCACTGGGAACGGTAAACATTTGTGTGGTGAAAGCCCGGGAGTTTAACCCTTCCTCCCTTCTGCTCCCAGCTTCCTTTTGTTCTCGGCACTTAACACAAGAAAACAGAACAATAAAAATCACACACAATAAAAAAAAGGAGAGCGAGAGAGAGAGAAAGCCAGGCACTGTTACCCTCAGCTGGTGTGTTGTTGTAGTCCTTTGGCAATTGCAGCCTCTCAACTTGTTTTCTGTTTTAGCTGACAGGGTAGGCACACCATACAACAGATTTACTTCCAGAAGACATTTTAACAGCAGGGCATTTAGTGAACCTGCCTAATTGCTTTTTTATTTTATTTCAGCCATTCACTCTACAGACTAGTATTTGTTTTTGTCAATTAGGAAGATAAATCAGATCGTTTTTAGCCTCAGCGCGTCTCTACAGACGTGTCAGCTTCGTCAGTGGTAAATTCAGTTATTTGTTTATTTAATAAGTACAAGACTACATCTTTGCTGAGAAGCAATAATATTTATATATTATATATATATATATATATATATTTAAATATATATATTTAAATAGATTTCTTCCTGGTTCACAAATACATAATTCATTAATTCTAGTTTATGCAAACAATAGCAGATCTGTGGTAGGCTTCACTTTCAGAATCATAGTTTTTAATTTTATCGGACTTTTAAATGAAAATAGAAGCTCTGACGGCCGGCTCTGGACTCTGATTGGTTCTTTTCTCATCTTGTCCCGCCTGTTCCATTTGCTCATTCTTTTTTGACTCTCGTTCTCCCATCTTTTCCGTTTTCTTATTGAATTTTCGTTACTGTAAACTTTTGTTGTTGTTTTTCATTTGTCGAGGAAAATATCGATCAATATTTGTCAGAATTTAATCTTCACTAGAAGTACAAATTTAAGTTTTAGTTTTTGTTCACAAAAATTCATTAATTTGTTTAAAAAAATCAAAACGAAAATATTTTTTCAACAAAATTAACACAGCTGTAAAATAATCCAAATTTGTCATAAATCCTGAAATACAAAATCGTGATGAGACTTCTAGTATTCCCCAACCCCCAAAGATTCTGTCTTTGTCTCAATGAACAGGTTGGTTTTTACAGAGAGGAGGGGAATAAAGTAGCAGGAATACGATCCCGAGGAGTGAAGTTCTGATCATGTAAAATCCTCATAAAACAGGAGAGACAGATTCAGCTGTGCATCATCTGCCCATCACTGCCACCCTGTCCTCCCTTTCACAGCATAATTAGACCATTGAGATGCTAACAGGGAGACAATTGCATTCACCGTGTCATTATATTTCTGCATGTGATCTTTGGTCAAATCATTTAACGACTACCAACAGGCCCGTCTGGTGAGCCCACTACAGCACGCAGACATACAAAAACAAAGGCAGAACGATTCCACAGAGGTCGCGGGTTTTACTGAAGAAAATTGCCGGGTGGAAGCGAGTCAGCGTAAAATCCACATAAAAAAAAAGGAGAAAAGCCAATAAGAAGCAAACACATTGTAATTCCAGACAGATACTTTGTTATCATCTATTTTGTTCTGGTCAAAAGAATGGACGGCGCTGTGAAATAGCCTCTTGTTGTGTTTACCAGCCGTGTTTGTGCTGCATTACACATTCAGGAGGCATGCTTCCATTTTGCTGAAACAGATACAATCATTGGTGGTGTTAATGAAAAACGCACCGCCTCAGAGAGCTCTCCCCTTGTAATATTCTTCATGTACATCATTTCTAATTGTCTCCAATAATGAGATCCCAATACCAGAAGACCTGTCAGCGTGCATTAGAGGCATAGAAATAGTGTTTTTTATTTATTTGTTGCTGGTTGTGAAGTAATTAAAGCTGGCAACCACTAGACAGCAAACTCACTTCTCATCGTTCATTACAGTCCAAGCTGCTGGGGAGAAAATGCACAGGACCAGCTGATTCCAGTGGTCACCAATCTTCCTGACGATCTGCATTTTTCAGCTAAGATGTTTCAAAGGGGGAGATGCTGCCGGCCAGGAAGACAGATGCATTTCTATAACTCCATTCTCCATGAACATAAAATGCAGGTTGTCTAGTGTTATCTTTCCCCTGATAAACAACATAAACAGCGAAGCAGCTCCAAGCGAAGCATCTGGTCGGTTAAACGTGCCAGGGACCAGACGAGAACGAGCCTACTGGCAAATAATACTGCCTTTCAAACCACACCCACACACTTCACAGGCCCTGGATAAAAACACACCACTTTCTATTTTATATCAATCACATCAAATTCACTCTTAATGCCTTTTTCAAATACCCCCCTGAATGAGGAGGTAGAAAGACAGCAGCTTTTTCAGGGCAGCGATATACAAACCTCAAATTATTGTTATTTTAAACGATGGAACAGTTCAGATGCAGCAAACACGACCTCACAGGAGTCCTTTTGATAAAAAAAACACTGTTGTCTCCTGCTAATTGTGACTCAATGTGCTAATGGGAATCCTCCCAAAATGCCTGTGATTTTCACACATGCTGACTCTTACTCCACCGAGCTGCTGCACCTGCGTGCGTGGAGTTCCCTCTGAGCTCCATAAGCATCCCCGTGTGCATACGGTAACATTCCGGTCTGCTCCAGACATCTTCATCCCACTTTTTCTCCTCTCTGTCAGCCCCCTTCAGACAGGCCATGAAAAACGGAAATGTTCGGGACTCTGTCCTTAAGACCTTTGTGTCTGAGTACAAACATCCGGATAACCTTTTGCATAATTAAACCGGACGAAGCCCCTGGTAAAAGGACCGGACTTGTCACGGACAAGGTGGCTGCTTCAGACTGGTGAGGTTGAGTTCCGTACGGGGGGGAGTGAGATAGCTCACTCCTGTAGCATGCGGCAAACCATGGCAGCTCGCCTCCTACGGTACCGTCTCCTAGACGCGTGACAGAGTGCTTCACACCCCTTCTGTGATTTCTTTATTAACCATTGAGCTTCATCATCCAGGCCTCTTATGCGTCTTTGTGTGCGCAGAATTATGCTTAACATAAGTCTGATCAGTGAGAGGAATTCTATCTCTTCGTCGGCCATGTTTGACTGAATAGCTTTGTTTGGGTAAATGACACATGTACGCCCGCCGCACTATGTTTCCGCAATATCTGGGTTCAGCTTTTCCACCCCTCCCCCTCAGACATCTGGAACTTTTCCCTACTGTGTGAAGGCAGCCGAAAGGACAAGTTCAGGTGCAAAAGTGGTGTGTCTGTAAACAGTTCTGGTTAAAAACCGGACTGAATTGTCCACACATATTGAATGTCAATCTGAAAAGGGCTCAACTGACCCCTCTCTTTTTCTCAGTCTGACTGGCGGTCTTTAAAATGAACACAACCCCCTCCACTGACTTCTGCCAAGCAAGTAGATGTCTTTTTAAACGGCGAGTCAAGATTGAAACATCAACTTTAATTCCTTGCTAAATTATCCCATTGAATAATAGATTAGGACACATGGAGATATGTAGATTTCCACCTTCTACCTTTGTGAGCCTAATTGCTGCCATTCAGGCACATCTAACGTCAGCCCGGCTTCAAGAGCCGACGCGGCTACTATCAGTCAATGAAGTTGCCTAAGCTGGTATCAAAGGGTAACCTTAGCTGTCAGAGATTCCTCACATTAGCTGCGAGTGCAGGACATCAAAGACAAAAAAAAAGGCTACCATGATGTTATTCGCACACACCTGAGACCTGCAATGGGCATAATGGATCTTAAAGGATGATCCACTAGGATAAAAACAGACTGAAGCACACACAAATCCATATTGGTCTTATCTTAGAATGAGCAAAAAAAGACTCCAAAGGATGTTGCAAACCTATTAACACACACACACACACACACACACACACACACACACACACACACACACACACACACACACACACAAATAAACAAGCAGGTTTTCCTTACCTTGGTCTGGCAGCTGGCAAACATTAGGGGGGACAGTCATGTTCAGCATGTCATTGACAGCCGTGTCAACATAGTGTCCTCTCTGGACATCATGTTCGCTGTCTGTCTGGTCGCTCTCCTCGTGCCCACTGTCCTTCAGACTGTTGCCCTCCAGGTCCTTGAATGTTGATGTGCTACATGGGGGCCAGCAGGGAGAAAAGGGAAATGTTGATTAACTGTCACGTCACCTTTTCAAACACAGTGTCCTTCGCAGCGAGGTCTCTGATGGTTTGTGATGAGCTTTCCGTCTTTCAATCCCTGTCAGCGTTTTGAATATTTTGCAGGGATTTTTTTTACCCTTCAACAGTTAATTTACATAAAATCAAAGCTTAAAAATAGATATTTTCTATAAGTCTATTATGAAACACTACACTTTTGAAAAAAAGCAAAGACCCAGGCATCTGATTGCAGCAACAAAAGGTAAAAAAAAGCAAATCTTTTAAAATTAAAAGCTTTCTAGGATTAAGTGCCTCACAGGGAAACTACGGGACGCTTCAGACAGGGACATTTTGGTGGGACGCGCTGACTTCAAGGACATCAGTACGAACAAACAGGAGGCACTCACTCACTGCAATCAAACAAATACTGCAGTAATCAGGAATTCCTGGAAGGAAGACGGATGGAGGAAGTGCTGGAAGCATACAAGCGGAGCATCTGTCTTGTTTGGGGCTCAGAGTCAATAAAGATGGTGGGGTGTGGGGGCACAATCAACAGCTGCACAGTAACAGCGTGATTTCCCTTCATTTGATTTCCACCCCACTGCAACAAATTCTACTTTACAAACAACACTAAATGAGAAAGAGCATGCACCGTGCAAGGAGGGATGCAAAAGGAGGAGTGTATGGAGGTGACGATAAGGGAAAAGAAAGGAACAAAAAAACGAAATGGTGCAAACAAAGTGAGGGTGAAATTAGAGGGACTGAAGGACAGTACAAGGTAGCAGCTCAACTAAAGCCATAAAATTTTCTGGCCTGGGAGAGAGGACTGCAGTGGAGGTAAGGCTGGCTCTCTGATCTGTTATCACTGTAATTGCACCTGTCCCAGACCATAGGCTCACTGGCTCCTGAGGGGATTTCTTTGTAGTATCATGCAGAAGCCCACACTTGAATGCTCTTTGTTCACGTTAATGCAAATAATCTCTTTCTTTCTTTTTTTTTTTTGTGGGGGGCGGTGGGGAAAAACCCGTAATGAGTTTTCAAAAGATGGGTATGACCTCTAACAAAAGAAAGCATTCTGTTTTTTTTACAGCTGCAGGTAAAAACTACAAAAAGCTCTATAGCTTGAGGGAATTTCGACATGACCCCCATCACAACCGTGTCACCGAATTCCTGCAAACCTATCAAGTATCCTACAGCAGCAGGCCTGAGCAACAATGCACAATGGAAACATTTATTCTTTACTTCCTCACAAAGATTTCAGGTGGGGACTCTTTATGAAACACTTGTCTCTGGCAGGTTGTTGAAGAGGGTTAAAGGTGTCACTGATGCATCGCAGTGGTCTGAAATACAGTCAGGAATTTAGATCTGATTTTGCACTCCGGAGGCTAAAAACAATTTTTGAATATTACGTCAATAAAGAAAGGTGAGTTGTGACACAAGCAGCACTTTAGGAGTTCTGGGAATTTATGGGAGAGGGGTAAGGAGACAGGGGAATATAGACTGGTCCGGTTATCTCAGTCATTGTGTCTCCATACAAACTCAGCCCTTTAATAATTTTGCTAAGATGTCGGCATGTCACGACCGTTTTAGCAGTGAGCGATGTCACTGTTCAGCAGAAACACTTCTATTCTGTCAAAGTATTCTGTAATTTAGTTCTTTCAGGGGATGGGAAGAGCAGCATGATTCCCAGAGGAAGTTTTTCACAGCACTCTGTAGGATACCACAATAGCTGCATAAACTCAAAGCCAGCCCAAGACATATGCCAGCTGAGTGACTGCTTTAGGTCCCCACACCACCAAGGGGCCCCCAAGAGTACCAAGATGACACGAGGAAAAATGTTTTAATAAATTTAAATAATACAAACAAAATAATCAGAGGATCTTTCATGAATGTAAATTCAAAGAGTCGGAGTACCGGCCAGGAGGGTTACCGGGGTCCCACCCTGGAGCCAGGCCTGGGGTTGGGGCCCGTGAGTGAGCGCCTGGTGGCCGGGCTGTCGCCCATCGGGCCCGGCCGGGCCCAGCCCGAACCGGATACATGGGCTCATCCAACTGTGGACCCACCACCCGCATGAGGAACATGAAGCGTCCGATGCAGTGTGGATCGGGTGGCAGACCGAGGCGGGAGCCTTGGCGGTCCGATTCCCGGACAAGGAAACTGGTTTTAGGGATATGGAACGTCACCTCGCTGGCGGGGAAGGAGCAGGAGCTTGTGGCAGAGGTTGAGCGGTACCGGCTAGATATAGTCGGACTCACCTCGACACATAGCATTGGCTCTGGAACCCAAGTCCTTGAGAGGGGTTGGACACTCTCCTTTGCTGGAGTTGCTCCGGGTGAGAGGTGGAGGGCTGGGGTTGGCTTTTTGTTAGCCCCAAGACTCTCTGCCTGCGTGTTGGGGTTTACCCCGGGGGACGAGAGGGTAGCTTCCCTGCGCCTGTGCTCATGTGGGCAATGACAGCTTAACCTGGAGGGGTGTGATTGGGAGGAACGGCCCACCTGATCTGAACTCAAGTGGTGTTTCGTTATTGGACTTCTGTGTAAGCCGCAGTTTGGCCATAACGAACACCATGTTCGAACATAAGGATGCCCATCGGTACACTTGGTACCAGGGCAGCCTAGGTCGCAGGTCGATGATAGACTTTGTAGTCATTTCACCTGACCTGCGGCCGTATGTTTTGGACACCCGAGTGAAGAGAGGAGCGGAGCTGTCATCTGATCACCACCTGGTGGTGAGTTGGATCAGATGGCAGGGGAAGATGCCGCATAGACCTGGCAGACCCAAACGCATAGTGAGGGTCTGCTGGGAAAGCCTGGCAGAAGAATCTGTCAAGACGGTCTTCAACTCCCACCTCCGGCAGAGCTTTGACCGCGTCCGGGGGACATTGACTCTAGTGGGCCTTGTTCCACTCTGCGATTGTTGAGGTGGCTGTTGCCAGCTGTGGTCGCAAGGTGGCCGGTGCCAGTCGTGGTGGCAACCCCCATACCCGCTGGTGGACACCAGAGGTTCGGGGAGCCGTCAGGCTGAAGAAGGAGGCCTACAGGGCGTGGCTGGTCTGTGGGTCTCCGGAGGCAGCAGACAGGTACCGGATAGTCAAGTGTGGTGCAGCAGTGGCAGTTGCCGAGGCAAAATCTCTGGCGTGGGAGGAGTTTTGTGAGGCTATGAAGAAAGACTATGATCGGCTCCAAAGAGGGTCTGGCAAACTGTCCGGCACCTCAAGAAAGGAAGTCAGCAACTCGCTCACAATGTTTACAGTGGGGATGGGGAGCTGCTGACATCAACTGGGGCTATAGTCGGACGGTGGAAGAAATATTTTGAGGAGCTTCTCAATCCCACCTACGCACATTCCGAGGAGGAACTAGAGCCAGTAGACCTGGGGATGGACTGTCCAATCTCTGGGGCAGAAGTTGCTGAGGTAGTCAAAAAACTACACAGTGGCAGAGCCCCGGGGGCGGATGAGATTCGTCCTGGGTATCTCAAGGCTATGGATGTTGTAGGGCTGCCGTGGTTGACACATCTCTGCAACATTGCGTGGTCATCGGGGGCAGTTCCTGTGGAGTGGCAGACCGGGGTGGTGGTCCCCATCTTTAAGAAGGGTGACCTGAGGGTGTGTTCCAACTATAGGGGGATCACACTCCTCAGCCTCCCTGGAAAGGTCTACTCCAAACTGGAGAGGAGGGTCAGATCGATAGTTGAATCTCAGATTGAGGAGGAGCAATGTGGTTTTCGTCCTGGCCGTGGAACTGTGGACCAGCTCTATACCCTTGCAAGGGTGATGGAAGGGGCATGGGAGTTTGCCCAACCAATCCACATGTGTTTTGTGGATTTGGAGAAGGCTTTTGACCGTGTCCCCAGGGGCACCCTGTGGGGGATGCTCCAGGAGTATGGGGTGGGTGGCTTTCTGTTAAGGGCCATTCATTCCCTTTACCAGAGGAGCGTGAGTTTGATCCGCATAGCTGGCAGTAAGTCGGACCTGTTCCCGGTGAGGGTTGGACTCCGCCAGGGCTGCCCTTAGTCACCGGTTCTGTTCATTACCTTTATGGACAGAATTTCTAGGCGTAGCCGTGGTGTGGAGTGTGTCGAGTTTGGTGGCAGGAGAATCTCATCTCTGCTTTTTGCGGATGATGTGGTCCTCCTAGCTTCATCCAGCTCTGACCTTCAGCTGTTGCTGGGTAGGTTTGCGGCAGAGTGTGAAGCGGCTGGGATGAGGATCAGCACCTCCAAATCTCAGGCCATGGTTCTCGACCGGAAAAGGGTGGCTTGCGAACTCCAGGTCGGGGGAGAGGTCCTACCTCAAGTGGAGGAGTTTAAGTATCTCGGGGTCTTGTTCACGAGTGAGGGTAGGAGGGATCGGGAGATCAATAGGTGGATTGGTTCAGCGTCTACAATGATGCGGACGCTGAGGTGATCTGTCGTGGTGAAGAGGGAGCTGAACCAGAAAGCCAGGCTCTCGATTTACCGGTCGATCCACGTCCCAATCCTCACCTATGGTCATGAGCTTTGGGTAATGACCGAAAGAACGAGATCGCGGATACAAGTGGCTGGAATGATTTTCCTCCGTAGGCTGGCCGGGCTCAGCCTTAAAGATAGGGTGAGGAGCTCAGACATTCGGGAGGGACTCGGAGTAGAACCGCTGCTCCTCCGGATCAAAAGGATTCAGTTGAGGTGGTTTGGGCATCTGGTCAGGATGCCTCCTGGACGCCTCCCTGGGGAGGTGTTTCGGGAATGTCCTGCCAGCAGGAGGCCCCCAGGTCGACCCAGGACACGTTGAAGAGGTTACATCTCCAATCTGGTCTGGGAACGCCTTGGTGTCCTGCCGGAGGAGCTGGTGGAGGTGGCCGGGGAGAGGACGGTCTGGAGCTCCCTAGTTGGGATGCTGCCCCCGTGACCCGGACCCAGATAAGCGGAGGAAGACAACGACGATGACAACGACAAACAAAATAATATTTCACATGAAAAAAAAAAAGCATTTATCTATATAGTGTCATTTGGCTATATTTTGCATGGAAGCACTTTTTACACGTTTCTAAATTTATTAACAAAGGATAGTAAAGCTAACTTTTTAACTGTAAATTCAGTGTTTGTCTGCTGCTGTTTCTTTCAAATAGTTGAATTAATACACCACACTTAAATAACACTCTGCATTTTAAAATGCTAATTAATTAGAATGTTTTTGTTGGTTTGCTGCTCCGGTAATGTTAAAACCAATATCCACAATAACACCTGTATGATGTAAGCTAATTACAAAAGACGTCAATGTTGGTGGGCATGTTTCACAAATGGTGTAGCCTAGGAATGATGAATCATCTGGTGTTGACTTGTTGGTATGGGGGGCCCTAAAGAAAAACTCGCTTAGAGCCCACAGAGGCCTGGGCTGGCCCTGCGTAAACAACAACGTTGTGGGGGGATTTCTACTGTATTCTCCAGCGCTGCTTTTTTCTCATTCTTCCAATCTGCAGCTACTCTTCCAGCTTTACAAATGCTTGGAGACATCCGCTGACATCAATTTCCACTTTTACAAACAAAACTGCATGTATTAACCACAATTCCCACCCAGCGACTCTACCAGGTCATCTCTGGTGCATAAGAACACAGGTACTCGGGGTGTCCCTGGAAAGTGGTCCTTTTGAGACGGTCTGGTGATACGGAGACATGCACAAGCTGTGAAGATCACAACATGCCCTATAGGTTATAAATTGTAAGTCGCTTTAGATAAAGGAGTCTGCCAAATAAATAAAACATAAAACATAAGATCCAGTAAAATATAGTGGAATGTTTGGTTGTGGTTTGTTGTATAACAATTAACAGACAGCAGGAAGTGAAAGACACAGGTGTGTGTGGTTATCATGTTGACCTTAATGAGCCACTAAAACCAGATCTTGGTTCTCTACACTTGTTATGCAGTTTGAACATCAAATGTTTACATGATTGCACTCAGTGTAAGAATTTCAGGCTCCTTTGTCACACTTCAGAAATGATCTAGGTCTAAATGAGATGCATAGCAAGCCTAAAAAACACAAATAGATTTCTTTTTAATATGACCAGTTCTAATATATAATGCAGCCCGACATTTTTAGATCATCTGAAAACAGCTGTTGGTGGCTCGTTTCTACATGTCTCCACTAAATGCAGTATAGAGTAATACTGTTTATCTCCAAATCTTATCCTCCCACTTCAATTATACGGAATGAGAAACATGCAGGTTCACATGCAAACTGCACCAACTGTGGCTGTGCTCTCATTAGATAAAACAATTACAGATAACAATGGTAATGAGGTGCTGGTAACAATTCCTAATCAAGACATACCTTTTAATGAGGTGGGCTCTGCTGTTCACATAACTGGAATCAATGGAATAATTCTCCGTCTGCAAGAGAGTGATGAAGGGGAGGGGGGGTTGGAGGGAAGATGGGGGCAACAGAGAGGTACTTTTAATAATGGAAGCAACCAAAATAATGTTAGCAGTAATTGGCTTTCAGTAGAAATTCTATTTTACACAAAGGCCCTGGTGAGCAGCCTCGCCTTTCAAAGGGCTGATTCCTATTCTCTTTCAAAGCACACACACAGAGCGGCTGACTGGGAGTTGAGAGTGAAGGAGAGAGCTGCAGCGAGCATGGCCTCTCCCCTCCTCTCCTCCTCACCCTCCCTGCTCTCCATCCCGTGAGCCCTCGCTACACCGCTGGTCAACCCACTGTCTTTAACGTGCAGTCATGAGGGAGGACAGACGATCATGCGGATAGAGAAAGAGAAAAAAAGTTTCCCTTTTCCTTCTCTGAACTCTTCACTTTTACTGTGTTTGAGAAGACATTAATGTGGAAATATTAAATAAATAACTGTAAGAGAAGTAGTTGAAATTAAGAGTGTATCGGGGGAAATCTTAACTCTGCAATTGCAGATGAAAAGGCTTTCAGAATATGCATGCAATGGATCTCTGACCCACATTGAAGAACACAGTTCAAAGGGATCTTTTGGTCATTTTTTGAACATTTATTTAGCTGGAAGAATAGCAGAGGAGTATGAGTGCACGGAGCAGGTCTGCTCTTCATCTCCTCTAAGCCTCCAAGAGGAATTCTCCCATGTCAGATTTGAGTAAGATAAAGCTCGTCAAGTAGTTTGATATGATGCAGGCATTTCTGCAAAAAATGAGTAACTCCTAAAATTCCATGATGCAGGTACTGTGTGATAAAACCAGTGTGAATAGGTGTCTTCCCAGGAAAGTGTCAGCATCAAAGACTTGTTGGGGAAAAAAATCAAACAAAAGTCACCCTGATGGTAGGAAAGGTTAACCGCTGCTGCTGGAGCCTGAATCTGATTATCGAGTGGACAGACCGTTTGACGCAGGCCTGCTGTTGAATGCCTGCACAGCTGTGGCAACACACAGCTGGATTTAAATGAAGGCAAAAGCAATCATTATTGGTTTGAACATGTTTAAACTCCACAAACAACACTTTGCATTGTTTTAATCTTGAAACAGAAAAGCTTTACTTCCTGGTTTAAGTGAGGCTTAGAGCAAGAGGTATGACATCTTTAAATGAATGCTAGTATTGGCTTTTTCATTCTAATTCATTTGTTTTGATATCCGAAGTGCACTCGTCTCCCACCATACTCGCATGTGCCCGAATCTACCCCAAATCATTAGTTGCACTGCAGCTTGTCTTCTCATCTAATTTACTCCTAATTATTCTGGAGGAAAGTTGCATCAAGATAAGCAACAACACAGGTCGGAGCGCAGATTGGGGTTCGCTAAATTGTGAAGCAACATGTTTGAGTCGAAGGTTATCATCAAGGCTTCTTCTTTTTACTATTTACCCCTAATTACACTTTAACCCAGCGCTATACGCCAGATAATTTATGAAAAGGAATCTAATTAACATTTTTGCATCATCCAATAATCTGGAGCACAGAGTGTTTGTTCTCTTGTCCCTGCCTCCCTTTGTTCCCCTTCAGCTTGACTCCATTAAATATCAAAGGTAATAGTCGTGCCAACATACTGCAACACATATTAATCAATAATTAAAGATTTACACTGTTATTTAATTAACTTATAAAAATAGCACCATGCTGTTCCAGCGCACATCCATATGGTGTTTCATTAAACAGTACGGATCCCTTGACAGAACTTTCAGCAGCAACATTTGTGCCATGGGGTTTCACTGTATGGATGGTGTAATGTGTATATAATACAGAAATTACCCACTGTATAGTCTATGCATAACGTTTTGTGTTGCACTTGTGCTCTGCTTTGATCCCAGCACTCACAAATTAAACTGCCTCATCTGCCACAGTAGCTGCACATCCACTGAGAGACTAATGAAAATGTAAGGCATGAGTAACAAGAGGAAAACTTCATTTAAAAGACCAGATAGAACATTTCTTGTGAATGTCACTCTGGCAGAAGTCTGTAATTGGTTTGGTTGGCAGGTTTTGGGTGAGCACAGCCTGGAGAGGAAGACAGCGAGCCGCCTGATCCTTAAAACGTCCTCCTGTCCTGACTTGGAACGTTTTTTTCACAAAGTTATTCTGCTCTCACGTAAAGTGCTCACACAGGTGCAGCTCCTAAAGCGTATGCATCACCCTCTCTTTCTCTTCAGCTCCTCTTTACAGACCAAGTTCACTTGTTTTTACTATACATTTGCAGTGGTCTCTAGTATAAACAAATGCCTTGTGATCCTTGTGCTCCTGTTTCAGGAAGTAGAAATTAGAAAAGAGAGGGGAGCAGAAAACCACAGGATTTGGTGTCTTATTTCCTGATATTTGGACATCTCACCTCTGATTGGCTGACAGCAACACAACTCTAAAGCTTATGCTTCTGCATCTGCGTTGGTATGGAGACACACAATGATATTATTCGTCGTTGCGAGAGCTATCTACAATAGATCCAATGAAGGTGGGGTCGAGACCACTTCCGTCGGACAAGACGGAGAACACAAGCTTGTGAGTGGTCAGGACGCCATTTCCTTTAAATTTGTCAACAGTATCATTGCGCCCTCAAAAAAATAAAGAAAGCTGACGATAACTAGAGGCAGACACGGAGCAGCTTGAAGAATACCTCGTGGGAAAAACTCTAAAAATATAAACGTTTAATTCACCCGTGACTGGAGGAGTACAAAGATACACAGCAAACGTTTTATCATGGATGGAAATGACAGGAAACATGGGTTTAGAGGTGGTGAGTGCATGATGAGGTGGAGGAGAATGAGGGACACATTTGTTAGTGTTAAAAAGTCTATAAAGGACAAAAAACACAGTAGTAATTGCACTATCTTGGACCGGATACAAGACAGGATACCTCAGAAAAGTGCTACGCCCTCTGTTGTCCAGGCAGAGAAATGCTTAGCAACACTCCCCAGGTGATGGAGAAGTCCAAGAGCAAAACGTTTCTCAATGCTTGTGCGTTTCTCCCTCACGGAGCTGATGCAGAAGCATTAACTAGGCTTTATGCTTACTCCATTTTCTCTGCAACGTTGATGTTTCATCTCCACAAATACAAGCTAATGATGTGTCTGTTGCTGCTGCCTCTTGGCCCAGATCATCTCTGTAAAAGAGAATTGGTTCTCAGTCGACTTATCTGGTTAAATAAAGGTGAAAAAAATAAAAATGAAATAAAAATAAAATAACAAAAGCCTGAAGGAGAGTGTTATAGAGTTGCTAATGCTAATGGTTAGCTTCTACTAGCCAAGACGTGCTCTGCTCTCTCCAGGACGCTACATCAACAACAGCCTTCCCTGTCAGGAGCCAAAATTTGTGAGTCTGTGAATGGTAATTTTCAGTGTAATGAGATCTGTGTGGCTTTTCTAATCTGAGCGTTTTCCCTGTCTATTTCTTTATCAGCGGCTGCAGGAAATAGGGGTAGAAGAATATTTTCACGTTTAGCCTGCATGTTAAACTCATTTCATAAATAACAAGTAAAAACTGTTTCTCAGTGTCTCTAAAGCTCCCGTTCCTCAACAAATCAGAGCATTTTATCTATTTTCTTCATTTATCAAGTCATCAAAGAAAACAAACAATAAATCAGCATGTGAGGGCATGGCATCAAGCACAGGTGAGTCAGAAGTGTCTGTTCTGAGTGAAAATCAGATACATTAGCCCAGACTTCCTGTAAAGATGTGTTATGGGTTTCCTCACATTTACGACCGACCTCAAAGTGGAGGACATGTTAGTGTATCTTGTCGGGAGGTCAAGTTTCAGGCAATGGGGGCTGCTTAACTACAACGAGGATGCCGCAAATGGCTACTTAATCAGGTTGGACAATACGTTTGTGATCTGAGCGGCCCCAGTTCGGCGGCCAAAGCCACTCTATCCCATGATTATTGCTCCACTTCATCTAGAGATCTGGAGGCAGGAATGTAGTCCCTGGTGTCACAGAGTGACTTATGGGCAGTGTCAGGATGGGGGTGTATGGGTGGAAAGAGTTCGTAGAGCGAGAAATGTTGAAAATGGGGAGTACATGGGTGCAACTTGACCAACAGGAGAGCTGCAGTCCAGCAGCCACAGCCCAGTAGCTTTCCACTTTTCACTCTTTTGCTTCTTTCTCTCCATCAAAACCTGAGGCACAGGGACGCTGAACTTGCTTCTCTGTGACTGAGAGGAAAAGCAATCTCCTCGCCTAGTTGCTGCCATGAGATTTGATTTGCCTTCCTCCCAGCGTGACAATTGGTTCGGTAGTCTGGATGCAAGTGTATTCATTGTATGGGGGCATGGGGAGCACAAGAGAGAAGAGGGAGGATGGTGGGGGTGAAGACGTCAGTTGTTACACCAGTAAACACCCAACAAGTTCAGCAGATGTCACACAGACAGGAGAGAAAAAAGAGAAAAAGAAGTCACACAGCTGGTCTACTGTATGTATCATCAAGTCTGATTTAACATAATAGATTAAAAACAGAATGCAAGCTGCAAAAATGTGTAAAGGGTGAGCATTAACAATATGCTACTTAAAAAAAACATATGCTGGCATTAGCAATATCTTTTTACTGAGAAGTCCAATTTAAAGGCAGCATTATTTATCTTATTCTTGAAAATACCCACTGAATTATCTGATTACTTACAAAAGTAAGCATCACCACCAGCAGCAACATACACCTAGCACATCCAAGGGTCAAGTCTAGAAAGAATTTCTTAACATTCTGCCCCCAGTTGCAGTACAAAGCAATATTGATGCAGGTATAAAGATTTGTACAAACATTTTGCATGAATTTAGGACAACTGAGCAGTTTTAAAACTGCAGCAGACTGGGGTCTATATGAACTGCACTGATGAGCTGAAAATTGACTCGGACCCACATGAAAAGAAGATTGCCTAAAATCAATTCCAGTTCCCTTAATGTCATTACTGTTCATGCATGTTATTTTATAAACATTTAAATGATCA